GGTCAAGGCTGCGGTGGCTGGGAGCGGTCACTGCACTCCAGTCTGGGCGACAGAGTGAGACTCCACCTCAAAAAAAAAACTGAATGAGAGGCTGGGTACTGTGACTCATGCCTATAAATCCCAGTACTTTTGGGAGGCTGTGATGGGAGGACAGCTTGAGGCCTGCAGTTCAAGGCCAGCATGGGCAATAATCTTTAGACTCCAAGTTAAGGATCCAAACTACCCGCAAAGACCACTTTTAGGCCAGGGTCATTGACTTACACCTCTAATTCCAGGAGTCTAAAGCTGAAGTGGGCTGTGACCACACCACTACATTCCGGCAGGAGACCCTTTCAGTGGGTAAGCTGCAGCTTGCTTGCTGTGGTCATTGAGTCCTAAAAGGAAAAACTACATATCAATCAAGGCAAAACCATTTTGTGTGACTCTTGTTGGTACAGCAACCTCAGAATCAAACTGAAACAGTTTTACATGTGATACCATTCTATTTATTTGACAGAATCATCACATCACTGGTTGGGGTAAATCTTTTAAAACCAAGCTGGGCTCGGTGGCTCAGCCTGTAATCCTGTGCCTTTGGGAGGCTGAGGTGAGCGGATTGCCTGAGCCCGCGGGTTCAAGACCCGCCTAGGCAACTTGGCGAGACCTCATCTCTACAATAAATCAAAAATTAGCCGGGCGTGGTAGCGCATGCCTGTAGTTCCCGCTACTTGGAAGACTGAGGCAGAAGGATCGCAGGAGCCCAGAAGGCGAGGCTGCGGTGGCCGGGAGCGGCCACTGCACTCCAGTCTGGGTGACAGAGTGAGACTCTAACTCAAAAAATAACAAATAAATAAATAAATAAATAAATAAAACCAAAAACAGGTCGGGCTCGGTGGCTCAGCCTGTAATCCCAGTGCTTTGGGAGGCCGAGGTGAGTGGATTGCCTGAGCCTGAGGGTTCGAGACCCGCCTGGGCAACTTGGCGAGACTTCATCTCTACAATAAAATCAAAAAATTAGCCAGGCGTGGTAGTGCACGCCTGTAGTTCCAGCTACTTGGAAGGCTGAGGCGGAAGGATCGCCGGAGCCCAGCAGGTCGAGGCTGCGGTGGCCGGGAGCAGCCACTGCACTCCAGTCTGGGCGATAGAGTGAGACTCCAACTCAAAAAAGAAACAAAAAACCCAAAACAATGAAATATCTCTATGCCATATTTAAAAAGCAAAGTCCCTGAGTCTGGCGTCATTGACTTTACCACTTAGGTAAGTGCTGGGTGGCTGGTGACAGTGGTCTGCTGTGTACTTGAGGACTCCTTCCCAAGACCATGGCATTGACTTGCCCCTGCCTCATACATGAAACATCCAGGTTGGCATTGTATTAGTAGTCAGGGCTGCAGCAGCATTAGTAGTGTAAGTGGGCAGGCCAGAGTTTATGCATTAGGATCAATTCATCTGCAAATAACAGAAGGAGCTTTAAAAAGCTCACTGCACTAAAATAATAAACAAGATAGAAGTCCATTGCCCATGTACAAGAAGCCCAGAGGGCAGTAGTCCACGTTGGCTGGTACTTTATGGTGTTCAGAAATCAGTCTCCCATCTTCTTGCTGTATCATGTGACCATCCCATTCGCAACTGTCCTAG